TTTTCATTAATTGAATTTTTGGCTGACCATACAGCTGTGGTCTTGGAAATAATTCTTTTATTTATTTATTCGTAAATAATTTTTTTGAGACTGCAAATATCAGGAATCGAACTCGTACTCTGCCAAGTTTGAAGCTCAGAGTCAGCGCATCTTAACCAACTGATCCAAAGCCGTAGTTGACTTTAATGTTCGCACATTTTTGTGGAATTTTTTGTTAATTTGCTGTGAAAGTTATTAACAAATTCAGTTGATGTGTTTATATTAGAACGAATTCATAAACCAGCTGTTGAATATATGAATTAATTAATTATATTTTTATTTTTAATTGTTAAATTTGAATACTATTCTATTTGTAGAGGCATTATTTGTTGCATGATTTATATTAATTTTTATTAATAGAAATTTTTTGAATTATTAATTCATTAATTATTAAAAAATAAGTTATTATACGATATAATGAAATGAAAGTGAATTAAAAAGCGAAACAGTTACCAAAAGATAAGTGAGCATTTGTGTGGCCATAAAAATTGTATGTACTTATAGTGCACTTTCAGGAGATTGAAATGTTATTTTACGAAAAGAAACCTGCCCATCCTTGGTATATACGTTCGTACGAGGCAATTCGAATTGCTTTGATTGGTTTAATGTTCGAAAATAAATAGCAACACACTAATTACACAATAAAGGCCTTACCCCAACTTTCACCTTCGCATTGGCTGACAGTTGTTGCTTTAGCCTGGCAGTTGTAGTCAGGGTTTGTAGGGTGCTAATTGCTTAATAATTTTTCGCATTCCCCCCAACATAACGAGATAAGGATAAGGAAAAACGTAACATTTTTAATTGAAAGTAACAAAAATATATAAAATCGAAAAGCAAGAAAGATGCAAAATGAAAAATTATATTTCAAATAAAATATTTTTGTTGATTTTACAGTTATTTTCTTTATTGTTTGCAATAACAAAAACAATACGAAATTTGTTAACTTGTTTGTTGGTTTGTGGCATCGCATCATCGCATCCCATCGCATCGGTGCGATGCGGTGGAATAGCAATGGCAATGGCAATGGCAGTAGCAGCAGTAACAGTAACAGTTACAGTAGCTGTAGCTGTAGCAGTGGCTGTAGCAATAGCATTGCTAGAGCTAGTGTTTGCTGCCATTGCCGATGTGCACAACATAGCAAGTTTTCTTTTGGGTGGTTGGTGGTTGGAAAAACAGAGAGAGCTGTGAGCCCATCTGTGAAGAGAGACAGAGAGTGAGGCATTGGTTGGCTTGTCTGTCCTATTAGTGTTGGCTCCACCCTTGCGAATGTATGGAAATGCAAGTTACTGCCGCTGATAAGCATTAGTACCGACGAATTTGGTTGTATAACCCTTCAGTTATTTGCAATTGTTTTAATTAAATAAATAACAAAAGGGTTGTATGGTACATGATGGTGTTGGTGATGGTGATGGTATGGTGATGGTGATGCTGACGTTGGTGTTAGTGTTGGTGTTAGTATTGTTATTGGAACGAGGAGACATCAATTCGGATGGGATTGAGTTTGGGATTGGTTTTCATAGGGTGGAGCAATTCTTTTTAACTATTTTTATTTTATTTATTTTGTAAGGAAGCCGTAATGCATAAACTTTTTATTCTACTTTTATGAATTTTTTTTTTTCGTTCATTACTGATTTTTCATTACTGTTCATTATTATACTTGTTGTTGTTGCTGCTTTGTCTTGTATTTTTTTCTTCTGTTTTTGTCTTGTTTGTTTAAAACTTTTTGCCTTGCAATTTTTTCACTTAATTAAAACTCAAAATTGTTACTTCCACGCGAACGCTTGTGTAGCTGAAAAGTTGGGATTTAACGAAAGTTCTTGGAAGTCGATTAAAAAAGAAACACAACACACAACACACAAAAAGAAAGAAGAAAAACAAAAAACAAAAAACAAAAAACTTTCAAACAATTTTATTAAAGGAGGGCAAATTAATTACAATTAAAATAAATCGCCTAATTAAGCCGCAAAATATATGCAGGAAACGAAGGAGCGAAAACGAAAACTAAGCAACTTAAAAAGCACAAGAAACTGTGTAATTTGTATAGAGCAGAGTACGGAGTGGGATATAACAGTGTGGGACAGAACACAAAAAAAAATAAATAAATAAATGCTTTGTGCTTGTATTTAAAAGAAGAAAAAGCAATATGAAAATGAAAATGAAAAATCAATTTAACATGAATTTTAATACAGTTACTATGTAGCCTGAATGCGGCTTAGAAATTAGCAACGTTTTAAAAAATTATGCAGAGCTTCTTTTTAGGATTTCAGATATTTGTTACATTAACACCAACTCCAACCATACATCACCCAGCAACAATATATATAAACATACCAACACGTACACATACAATTTACAAAAAAAAGTGTATACACAATGTATACCGGTGTGTATATATGTGTAAATAGGATTCAAAGATAAGTTTATGAAACGAAAACAATTTGTAAAGCGAATGAAAAATTTATGAAATTTAATGTAAGTAAAATTTAAAAGAAAAATTGAAATAAAAAAAACGAAAAAAAAGAGAAAAAAAATTATTGCATCTGTTTGTTGTTGTTGTTGGATCATAAGCACTTGTTCGTGCAGCGAAAAGTCTTCAGCGAAAAAATTAATTTGAAAAACGGATGAAAGTGTTTTTGAAGCCGTACAAGGACGGCCATGCACCCAACTCAAGAGTGAAGTAGATTTTTTAAAAGAAATTCACTCCCAATGAAATAATGAGAAGCGTTGGCAACACTTACGTTTCGACCAGCGTGAAAAAGATAGATTAATAAATTACAGAGATTTGCAATCATCCTAAGAATTTTGAAATATAATATTTATTTTTTAAATATGTATTTTAAAAAATAAAAAAATTTGAAATTCATAATTCTTAAGCTATTTACGCTATATATATATATATATATAAGTATTTTAATTTTATGAAATTTTTTGAATTTATTTATCGACCTCTTTTTTATAATGGTTTTTATATATTTTTTAATCCGGCATAGGTCACTTTTTGTTAAATAATTCAACGTTTAATATTTTTTATTATATTATACATTTCGACTCTCCTTGAGAGTCTCCTTATCAGGATCACGAACAGAAATTAATAAAACTATATCTAAATTATATCTATCTATATAAAACTATATCTACGTCATTCTCTTTACTCTATCGTTTATATATTATTAATTTTATTAATAGTAAATACTTACAAATTAGACTTATTCTGTTTTTGGAATGGATATACTTTCGGAAATCTTTCGGAAATTTCTAATATCTGGACATTTATTTTTTATAAAACGTAAAAAGGAAGTTAAAAATTAATTTAAAAATGTCAGGTGTAGTGGAAGTAGGGTTGAATCACTCTCAATTACCTAAAATAGCCGTTTTGACAGTGCAGACCGAAGATTTGACCGTGCAGGCCAAACCTGTCTACATGCTGTCCTATAGTGTTACATTACAACAGATATTAACCTAGATACTTCCAACTTGAATTTAAGTACCAGATCAGAGGTTTAACATTTAAAATATAAGGTACTCTGACATTAAAGTTTTTGACCTGACTGCTGAGGATATATAAGTTTAATTTGCCAGTCGCAAAAAATGGTCGTAAATGAAATTTTGTCTGTCACAGGCGAGAGCAGTGATTGAAAAGTGAAAATATATAGAAGAGGCGCCAAGTCTAGCTAGCTCATGTATGCGTTCGTTCTCTGCTATATTAAAATACAGGGAACCCAAACTAGAGTTATATTGGAGCTACTGCTTAATGCATTAAGATATTGTAATCGAGCCCTGCGTCCCAATACGTTCTGGAGGTTTAAAAATAATATTTTTATTTAAATTTATAACAAATATTTGTAAATATAGTAATCCATGATGTGTCTTTTGATTTAATCTTTAAAATAATGATGTCATGTAGATGTCGTATTGGACACCGCACCCATAGATTGGTTAAGTGGATAAGAGACAATAATTTACTCCTTTTACACAAAGAAATAACAAGTATGAAAATAACGAGCTGTCTACTGTTTTATTTTGTTCTTCTTCTTCTTCATTCCATTGCGTTCCTAGAGGAACAATAGGCCATTTTTGTTATTCACTAATATATTACGTTTTTAGAAACAGAAAACGAATAAAGAGCCACAAATTATAATTTCAAAGCATGATAAAATTGGATTCGAGCTTCTAGAAGTTTTTATTTGTAAACGGTCATTGTATTTCAAGAAACTAAAAGAGCAAACTATCTCTATATATAAAGGTGAGGTTTTCATTTTTTTAAGGTTAATTTATTGTTGATATGTTATTTTGAGTGACCCTATTGATCTTCTTTTCACAAATTCTCAATTATTAAATTTAAATTGAATACAACAACAATTTCACTTTTGACGTGCTTATAATGGTCTATATAACATAACCCTTATAAGAAATTAAGAAGATACCGGATATCATATAAGCCACATATGTACTCAACATCATAACAAGCAGTTTTTCAAATATTGAGTTTTCTGTTTTTAAATTTATCTGTCTGCCTATCTGATATCTGTGTGTTAAACTCATTTGCCTTTGCGTTGGAGTTCTATGGCCCATACTAAATAACTACTTAAAACACATTAGATTTTATTTTAAAATATTTTGTTGAACCAGTAAAGATATTGAAATTTTCCTTAAATATAGTGTTTGAGATTAGCTCTCTCGAATGTATTTTAAGTCTAATTGTGTAACTAATTCGTCTAATTTTAATTTTGAGATGTTGATAGAAACCTCTAAAAATATGAGCAGAAAATAGGGTATCCAACTCAACAGAAATTTATATATTTTGTATATGTACTCACAGATGTATTTTAGATTTTAGAGAAACAGGCCTATAATAAAAGAAAAATATAAATAAATAAAATAAAATTAGCATAATGTAAGATTTATTTGCAAGTTATGAGCTTTGAAATAATTTTTTTAATAATTTATTTATTTCGTTTCAGGTCTGGTTCAAAAACCGACGGGCAAAATGGCGCAAACAAAAGCGTGAAGAGCAGGAACGTCTTCGCAAATTACAGGAAGAGCAGTGCGGTGGTGCAAATAGCGGTGGCAGCGCTGGTTCCGTTGCTACAGCTGTGGCGAATTTGAAATGCTCGCCGGAAGATTATGCAGGTCATATGCATATAAAAACCGATCCGAATTATAGTGATGCGGATGAATCCTCCGATTTGGAAGTGGCATAAAATTTCCTTAGAACAACACTTTCATACCAACACCACACGCTCTTGTACATATCTTCTCATTAACAATTGTAATATATAAAATAATAATATAAATAATTTTTATAAAACACACGAGAACAAATTTCCCTGTAAGCAAGTTTCCCTTCTCCCATTTCCTTCCATTCTACAGTAATCCTTTTAATTATTAATTATTTATAAAATATTTAGTCAAACATTGTAAATAGTTCTGTTGTTGTTTAGTTTTTAGTTTGTTGTAAACTAATTTTAGTAAGGAATTTTAATTCGAAGTCCAAGTGTACCGGATACTTAACAAAAATTTAATTTTTATTTATTTTTTTTAGACAAATTCATGAAATGTATTATAATATATATATACAGAAATTTTTATTATATGAAAAATTTTCAAAACAAAAACCAAAAGAAAAAAATTAAGCGAAAAAAGCAAAAAAAGCGAAAAAAACTTAACAAAAAATATATAAAATAATATAAAAAAAATAAGTAATTTATTAATAATCATTTACTAAAAGTTTTTTAGAAAAGGCAGCTTCAGTACGACATTTTTGTTTTTATAATAGACACACATTTAAAAAAAAAAACAAAAAACATTCCATAAAGAAGTCGTAAAAGGAGTGTAATTTATAAATAAGGATATGTATCGTAGTATCTATATATAAGAATGTATATAGATATATACTACAGAGATGATGTAAGGGCACACTATATAAAATATTTAACTTAATTAATATTTCTAATTTATATTGTCTGTCTGTAATTATAATTAATAATTTTTTGAATTACAAAAAAAAAAGAAATGTGAAAAACAAAACAAAACAAGCAAAAAGAAACTTGTATTACCTAAACACAATATTAAGTAATTTACAAACGATGTCTGTTTGTTTGGTCCGATTAGTCTATAGAGAATTATGTATTGTCCGCAGGAATTATAAAAGTATTTACGGAAATTTCGTAATATCACAAAAATCTAAAAATAAATATAGAAAATAAGAATATTTGTTTAATTTTTTTTTTCAATCAAATAAAGTTCAATTGAAAAAAGAACTGAACTAGATAGAGAAGTGAAGATAATGAAGCTGCGGCCATAGCCGCAAAGGATCTGGAACAAAGTGGCTACTGAAACATTGCGAGCGCCACACAGCACTGCAACACCAAAACGTAACGAAATTGTTTAAAATTGTAGAATTTATCCTGCGGCCTGATTCGCAGAGAACTGAATAAGTACTAATGTGTACTGTAAATTCTATTTTATTGCGATCTATAAGTTTTCTATATATTCTATATGTATATTCTATTTTATTGCGATCTATAAACTTTCTTTCAAGTGGGTGGAAAGTAACAAAAACTACCATATGACCTCTAAGCCACCGCTTAGGATTAAATCAAGTAGATTTCAACCATAAGACCATAATGGATAGAGTTAAGAACATAGGGGGCTTAAAACAAAAGTAGAAATTAATAGGGCTATCATTTAGAAATCCAAATTTATGTAATATATTTAAATTATATTTAATATTTAACAATAGAAAATAATAAGTATTATAAAATAATGAGTAATATAAAATAATGAGGTATATTCAAACACGCGCCAACTTCTCGACTTCTACTTTCTACTGTAACACCTCACAAATAGCCGCTACTTTTCTCCTTCACTCCTTCACTTCACTGCACCATAATCAGGGTTACCTTGTTGCAGTGATGGTATACTTTTAGACATTTAAAAAGTAAAAAGTGAAGTGAGGTTGGTGATAAAAATAAAAAGTTAGACTGGTTAAATGGGATTAGTTGTTGGAATCACAAGAAAATTATTAGGTGCAGTCGTTATGACGGGGTCATAACAACCTCGGTAGTAAAGAGGTGTAATAGAAGTAGCGGATTACTCCACAACACAGTAGAGTGATATATATTAAATAGGCTTATGTCCGATAACTGATCGAATCTGGAAGAAATAGTGTTGTAAGGTGAGGCAGCACCGCAGGGGTAGAAGCATTAACTCATCAATGCGAGTAATTTTAGCCTTAGCTTGAACCAGAGAATTATAAAACTGTTTACTATTAGGCGTCCATTTCTCATTAATACAGTCATCAAGACCTTTGCGCTTGTATAAATTTAATTATTTTATTTCAGCTGAATTATTTGCAAACCATATAGTACCCTATATGAAAAAAGTTGCTAACATCAAAGAAATTTAAACCTACAGATGAGCTGAGCTGATTATGCCTGCGTAGAGCAGTTCTAAGTTCATCAAGTGTGAAAATTATATTTTTTATGGCATATCGAATGTAAAGAATCAAGTTTTTCTTTATAGAGAACACCATCCTAAGATATTCGAGCTTATTGGCGAGCTAAGTTGGAATACGATTGATGTAGAGATCGATAAGTGAGACACGAAAACCTCTAGTGTCACCAGTATAGATATTGGCAGAAATGTTAGAATATTCCCTGTTAAGTAAAATCTAAAAAGGGAGATGTTTACATATTTATGAAGTCAAAATGAAAGAGGAGAAAACGTACTCAATGATTTCATATTCATACATTGCGATTGCAGTTTAGAAAATATTAAAACCGAAAAATATATAAGATAGATTTGTATCTATTAAAACTATCAGAGAGCTCTATTGCAAAGGAGTTAATATGATTTGATATGATATATGTTAAATATTGATTGCATGAATTTTAAGATTCCTCTCTATTATGTTTGTATATCAGATAATTCAGAAAAATTATGGTGTAATGTTAATTCCAGTTAAACCATTCAATTCATGCATTAAAAGATAAATGTTAGACATCAATTTCTTATCAGGCATTTATATCATATTTATAATTTCAATGCAATAAGAGTAAAGAAGTGATATTCTTCTTCTTATTTGGTACTAGAGTCCAGTGTGAACCTTGACCTCCCTTAACAGGTAAAATTTTTCCGTATAGATCGTATAGATTTTCCGCTCAACTATACGTTATCAGGTTATACCGCCTGTACTAAAAAGTGCTATTATATACTATTAATAAGCTCGTTAAGATACTAATAGTGCACACAGTATTGCGGTTATTAAGTTAGTTATTGCACCTTTTTAAGAAAACATTAGGCAATACTCAAGAGTGTATGATTAAAACGACTAACTATAAATGATTTGATACAACAAAAACCCAAGCGGTAAAATTTTCACAATATTTGGGGTTAGATTTGGTAGGTCAGGAGTTTTATACCTCAGTTGATTTCAAGATTAGGAAATTTTAAATAAAGTACCAACTAAATCTAATCAAGTAATTTTAACAAAAGAAGATATTATTTTCATAAGAATGTTAGTACAAAGAAGAAGAAAGTTATATGCCTTCTTTAAGTAAATCTATCGCCCTAACAACTAGTAAAAGGTAGCGCTAACTTTTATTAAATTAACAATAAAATTTGAAGAACAAATTTCTAATATACAAAATTAAACCCATCTAGATACTTGCTACACAACTTTGAGGCACTGCAAACACCTCTGATATTGAAATATTACGGAGGTATCAATCAACAATACTATATGCAGCTAAAGCTCTATTCATCAGAGCTAAAAATTCGTTAAGTAAATGGAGAAATTCGGATATCCATCAAGAGATATGTGGAAAGCCTAAGAAAACATGTCAGTGTTCTAGTTACAAATCTTCTGAACAACACCGTGTGTATTGGAAGGTTGGAGAGATTTTATAAAATAATATTAGTATAATAGCTGATCTTTATGAAGTACAGCTAATTCCATAATTGTTTTTTAAATATAATTAAAATATTTACTAATTGTAAATTAAAAACAGTTTGCAAATAAATAACATATATATATATACAAAACGTTTTTTTAGAGCATTAATGACTTAAAATAAGTTTGGACGTAAAAGAAATATATTAAAGACTGCATTCTAAAGTCATGATTTTCCAATAGTTTCTTAAATATTCAAGATTATATCTTACATGCAGCAGGTTTCTCCAGGCGTGTCTGATGAGTGCGCGCCCTCTCCAGTCGTGTACTTCAAGGCTTGTTAGTACTAATTCAGCTTGATCACACACACACTCTACCACAAACACAGTTTATCTCTACGCCTTCTTTCTCCAACTACTGCTTCAAATACCTTTGTCGCTGGAGCATCTTCATCCATTCTTACGACATGACCAAGCCAGCGAAGCTGTTGGATATTAATTTGCTTAATTATGTCAATGCCGCTATAAAGATCGTATACCACGTGGTCCAAAGATCTTACGAAGAACATTTTTCTCGTACACTCCTGGTACTGCTTCATTATTCTGTGATAATGTTCACGCTTCTCCACCATACAAAAGCACAAAAAGAATGAACGACCTATAGAGCGTAAGTTTTGTAAGTCTGATCAAATCAGACTACACCAATACTCATTGTATACTCACTGTATAGAGTTCTTTTTCTCAAACTACTTAGAGAAGAAGAGCGAAAATCTCTCAGTCGAAACAAATCAAATTTAAAAACAATAATAACTGTTCACTGCCTTCTGAAAGCATTAATAATAAGCATCGTTTAGGGCTTCGATAACCGACGTGTGCAGACTGTGTAAGGAAGACACAGAAACATTCTTACATATCCTTGGAAAATGTCTCGGTTTTGCACAATATAGAAAAACAATATTCCATAAGAAATTAATTATGGAAAAGTTACTTTACAAAAATTCCTATTTAGCATGTCACATATTAGGGGCCGATTTCACAGTCGTAATCTAAGTCCCAAAACCGAGTTGATAACTTAAGCATGACTTAAGTCAGTATTAAAACATAAGTTACGATCGTGAAACCGACCCTTAATTTCTCAATGACATGTTGTCTTTTCCAAAAAAAAAGAAACGATTCCTAGTAAAGAGTCTTTTAATTATTTTCGATTAAGTGAACTTTTGCAGTGCATTTGAATTCAGCGGATTTGGATACTCGTATCGCCAGATATTTAGTGTTTGAAAGCATTTCTTAATATAGATTACTGCATGTTATTAATCTATATTG